ACAGCTGCATTCTATATTTCCAGAACTCATAATTATCCCTGTTCAGCTTTGTGAACAGCAATTTTGAGTGAGCCATGATTCGCTCCAATCGGGTAATTTTTCACGATAAATTTCACAATAAAATTTGCAATTGTGAACAAATAGCAGAATCCAGCCAAAACAAAAATCCTTTCTAGATGCGGTAGCATAGGCCCATAACCTATTAGAAATGATTGTTGAGACACGAGGATCGTTTATGTTTTACAATTAAAGTTCTTTATTTATGAAAAAGTTAAAGACAACTAACTGTACGTTAAAGTAAACTATGTATTACATAGAATGTTAGGATGTTAGGATATGCATGTATTTGTACAATGTAGATAAGAAACAATGTTGCCACGTGTAATGTTATTATTAATCATTTGGGTATTCTCATGGGCTCATGTGATGTACAATTGCAAATACCAACACTTACTTCAATCTGATAAAAGCCTTTGGTGAAGTCTAGGTTTGAGAAGCAATTTCCCAACTTATCAAGAACGTCATCAAGTAATGGTATGGGACATTTGTCTTCCTTGGTAACCACATTTAGTTTTCGGTAATCTATAACGACCCTCCATTCTTTATTACCTCTGTTGTCTTCAATTTTAGGAATTACTCTGGTCCAGCAATTCGTCATTCCTATGAATCTATGGATATCGATAAGTCCTAGAATATACTGGTCCTTAATTTTCAGTTGGAATACTGTGTTCAACTGCAATCGTATAAAATATGTAAATATTCTCCTGCATTATATTCTTAATTGCTTTAGCTTTTCCATATATCAATGATCAATTCATAGTTGCTCAATGAAACCCAATTCATTTAGATGGTACAATTCCGGTAAATCCACTACATCTATCTTCGACAAATAAGGAATTTCCTGATTATTTACCACTAACATTTTATTTTCGTAATTTAATTTGTCTTTGTTTTCTGTTAAAAGAATTGACTTAAAAATTCCTGAAACAAGGTGTGAAATCGAGTATTGGGAAAATAGGACTTGTAGGACCGCCAAAGATTCCTTTTTGATTGATTCATGATTAACTTTCAATTGACCAGATGCAGTCTTTATTGATATTGGTGTTCCTAGGTTAGGTTAGAAGATGCGCAACCGCTCCACTCGGAGATCTACTGGTCCATTGTAATCATCCTAATAGAGTGAAAATAAAGAAATAAAGAGAGAAAGATAAAGCTTATATTAGAAGAGTATAGCCACGAAGAATTTATCGTGTGTCTTTAGCTAGTTTAGTCTTTCAGCTAACTGAAGAATAAATGGATAGCGAAGTATTGGATAGTGAAGAGAGATCATGCAGAGTTTTCTTACCAGTGAACCTCAGTCTGACTCTACAACGATTTGGACATTGACAGAGTAAGTGTTCCGCAGTTTCTATTTCTTTCTCGTCTTAACAAAGCCTGCAATAGTCAGTAATTCGTGCGGTGAAAATCGGTATATAAAAATTGGTAGTATCTACTAGATCTAAACGGAACATTAATTAAAATAGATGAGATTAGGAAATCTGAGGGTATATTACCATTTAATATTTTTAGTACAAACATGGAGATCAACATAATACATCTGCTTTTAAATGTAGGCAATCTAATTAATTTTAGCCTACTAGCATAGGAAGGCAAAACAAAATCATTATTCCAATGTAAACCTCGTAAGGCAAAAAGCAGAAATTGTTTTTGCACGGATTCTATTTTATCTGAGTATATTGCACATTGAGGATCCCATACAACAGAACCGTTTTCTAATATAGATCTAACAAGAGACGTAAATAACTGTTTTGTTATATTGGATCAGAAAATTCTTTGGCCCACCGTTTAACAAAAACCTAAAACACCATTTGCTTTATTTACCATTGTTTTCATATGGCTATTAATATTTAATATTGGATCCATCAAGAGGCCAAGATCGACAAATGAATCTACAGTTGATAATAAATGACCGTCAATATTATATTGCAATATCAGAGAAGAAGATCTGGACATATGCACTGGCACATGTGCTTACATTTGCTTAAGTTTAAATCCAAACAATTTAACCTGCACCATTGAAAAAGTCTATCTAAATCATTTTAAAGTAAACTAGGTTGTTTATCACAATTATGGAAAATGAATAATTACTTTACTAAAATCAGTATAAATTGTGTCAGTTTGTTTACGCTGAACAAATCCTTTTATTACTGTTGACGTAAATTGTATAAGATTTGTTGTGGTTGAAAGACCACTACGAAAACCATGCTGATATGGACTCAATATAGATTGAATTGTCAGTGAAATTTTTGCAGTAATTAATTTTTCGAACACTTTTGGAATGGCACTTCATTTTGCAATTCCTCTATAATTTGACACATTAGTAAGACCACCAGACTTATGTAAAGGTATACTATAAGATTTTTTCCAGAAAGTAGGAAAGTGACTAAATTTATGTGAATAATTAAATAATATAGTAAAGGAAGTGTTGTCATGTTTCTTAACAATATTTAAAAATTCTATTAGGTATGCCATCCGGACCTGGATATTTAATCGATTTCAAACTACGCAGACTATTATACAACTCTTGACGTTGTAGAAAAGGCATACGACTGCAATAAGGACGCCACCACCTTTTTTACAAACACGATCTTTTCTAAATATTTGATATTTTGAACATAAAATTTCACTATTTAATACAGATGTTTTTAACCAAGTTTCGGAAGAAACAATACATAATAATAGAAACCAATGATATCAGTATATAAAAAGGTTAATTTTGTATTAAGCCCCCTTACATTCTGATAGCAAATAGAAAATGAGCCATTTAGTTTTTTTGGCACCGAATCCTAATTATCAGATCTCTCCAGAAATTCTTTAATAAATGCCTTAGCAGGCCTAAATTCTTTTAAATCAACTGTACAAAAATATTTTCAGGCACAACGATTTTGAAAGAAGATCTACTTTCAGAAAATGCAGATCGGAGCTTATAACATCTCAACAAGTAATCGCCCTCAATTTATATAAAAGCTTATGTCATCGGCCGTTGTTTCTGGTGCAAACCTTGTCGCAAATATCATTTTCATTGCGGGAGCCATAGATAATGATCTTTGTACAGGTTGAGTTTTGCCAGTAACAGTCTCGGGACGATCACTAATATCGGAAGTAATAATTTCTGAATGTCATGAGTAGATTGTGAGGCTTTCATTTGCTTTTTCATACTAGCTCTCTGTACATGAGCAAAGTCTCGTCCCCACCCGCATTTGAGATAGTTCGTGACCGTTGCAATGATCGACGCCTCCAAGGGGGCGATTGAAGAATTGAATTGGGTTTTTTTGATTTAAGTTCGTTTTTCATAAGAGGTTTGGACAGTGGGCGTACCGATGTCTGCCATGACATAGCCTCCATATCGTGGTAAGGACTTGGCAACTAAGCCTGCAACTCGTCGGAGCGCACAGGTATCGACGAGGTTACCGTTCGAATGCAATCAGTACTCTGACTGCAAACCTTGGAATACTGATAGGTTTGCGTAGCACCCCAGAATTAGGGAGTCCGTTGTGGTGGACCATCCAGTTCACTGGTTAGTTAAGGGGCGCCAGTAGCTTCGCCTCGTCGAGTCCAGGGATCATAGGTACTCGGATATTTGTTCCGAGACTCTCCCCCCGGAGACCGTGAGCTGTCCGCGACTGCTTATTTGAATCCCGGCTGCCCGATATATCTATCGGGCGTTCCTGTGAACGCAGCCGGTCGCACTCAACCATGCATCTAATACACGAATATTGACCCGTGTTTCGAAAATCCTAATATGATAGGGTGGACAATGTGCCTTTCATAAATGTTGTCAGTTTATCCTGTATCATTTAGGGTTTTTGTAGATCTTTTATCAGCTTTGAAAAATAAATAGAAAAGGCCCCGTGGTTGGTGTTTCCGTGGCCACATAAAGAAAAACTCACATGACTTTTCAAGTAATCTCTGTATATCATTTTTTTTAACCAAAAATTCGACGTGCTCGGTCGACATTTTCACCACACAAGTTAAACGCATGTGGTGAAATGCTACCGAAATACGTCGAGCGTAGGAAATTTCAAAGTTGAACAATTTCAGCAATCACAATTAATTTTTTTTTGTGTTGAAAAAAAAAAGCGAATAATGCAAAAAATTGCAATGTTTGTGAAAATATTATAATTGACTAAATTTTAAAAATTATAATTTTTTACAACATTATTAGTGGTAGATATAAACAGATGGACCTGACGTATTTAAGTAACATTTTTTTACCATAGTGGGGAAGTTAACTATTTGTGTAGGTTACATCAAATTTTAGGTAAAACTGTCATATTTTATTCTAACTAATAGTTGTTCGTTTTACTGGAGCTCAAACAATTGCTGAATAACAGCCTGTATTGTAAAAAAAGTTACTTCCACTCGAATCCTTCGTATTCAGACGTAAAAATAAAAATGTTAAAATCTCTCGTCCATTTCCGAAAAGCTTTGATATGACAGAGTTTCCATAACCATTATTTTGTTAATATTTTAATTGATTTATGAGTTGTGCTGATTGTGGCAATCCCAATAAATTCACATTTTATCAGAAATTTGTAAAATAAAATTGAAAAATGTGAAGAAAAATTTTAAAGAATATCCACTAACAAAAAGTTGATATTTAAAAATAGTTTATATATAAGTCCCCCGTCATACACATACAATTTTGGCGAGATTCTGTAATGTAATGTAATATATATATATATATATATATATATATATATATATACATATCAGTATCAGAAAAAAAGGTTAATATATATATATATATATATATATATATATATATATATATATATATATATATATATATATATATATATATATATATATATATATATATATATATATATATATATATATATATATATATATTTATTTTCTTAGGAAATATAATGCAATTTCACTTAGAATTTGAAAGAGCTAAATATATATGTACATATAAATTTTTTTTTACGCAGGAATTGACTCAAAATCTTACCGCCCACCGTATACAGAGTACTAAGAATGACAACACAAAAATATACTTTCGAGATTCTGAGGAAACCAACATATTGACCATTGGCAAAAAGGAATTTAATCATATTGACCACCAATTAAAATTTAAAGAATCATGGGTAAGACTTCAAATACAATTCAAATACATCGTTATTATTAATACAAGCAGCATTGTTTTAGTTACGAAAATTTGATCGCGAGTTGGAACCTTTACGAGATTTTCTGTACGAATTCACGATTGACTTTCCACCTTCATATCCATACATGGAGGATCCCGAAATGCCCACAGACTTTATGTTTACCCGTTGTCCCTCATGGTGCGACCGAATACTGATGAACCCCGAAGCTAGACGAATTATAGATGACGTGCTTTCGCCAAATAAGTATAATATAATTGGAGAAAATATTTGTATGGGTGATCACAAGGTATATTTATTTAAATACAATTTTCATTTAAACTCATATAGTTTAATATAAATAATGGCAAAGGTTAAGGGAATTACGAGCGCATGTGATATCAGATTACATCTTTGTGGATAAACCAAGTCGTGAAGATACTCTTTGCAACGTTCTTCAAATTGATAAAGAAATTGAATCTTAACATAATGTTTTTAGAACAGTATTGGTATATTTTTGTTTGTGATACCGTAGTATTTTGTTGTTGCGAAATAGTCTGGCTTAATGCCATTATGGTTGTTTTTATAAAAACAACGTTTGTTTATTAGTATTTTTACATTATTAATTCATTGCCCAAATTTATAACATATGCTTGTACTTTAAACACACATTTAAAACATCTTACAAAACCATAGGTTTTTTTTATTAAAATCTCTGAAGTTAACTTTGCGTAAGCATTAAATTCACGGATGTGAATGCAAAGTGTTTGCTGTAAAAGTGCGAAGAAAGGAATTATTTTCAGACTCTTCATGAACAGTTTTAAAACAAACAGTGGAATGACTACTACTAGAATAGTATAAAAACTGCTTAGTTTTAATAAAAAAAAATGAATAATAATCTGATTTTTTAATAAGTAAATATCAGATTTTTTAAAGAATAACTCGATCTATAAAGTACCACAGAAAGAAAACAAAACTGTAGAATTTGTTTTTTTGGTTACTATAGAGCCAATGTAAAGTTAATTTGTATTTATTACTTTAATTAAATCTAGACTGATATATTTTGAAAAACTATGAATGTACTTAACAATCATAGGATAATAGGTAATAAAATGTCGCTTTAAGTACATGGGCTTTGGAAGATGCGGGCAGCAAAAAATTCTAGTTGTGTTTTAAAAACTCCATTAGGGGCATAAATCGTATTAGCATAATAAATGTTTCGTATTGTAATTAATACACTTTTTTGTTTCCTTAAACTTTTTTGCAGCCTGTTTATTTACATATCTGCATCAAGCCAAAGCAAGGTATATATAGTTATTATAAACCTCTTTATTTTAAACCAAATTTTAAACATCATATCCCAGCTGCCACTATCAATAACTCCGCCCGTTTGAATCAAAGTGATGAAACTCCTAATAGTAAACTTATTAAAGAATCAAATGCCAATATTGAACGAGCATGTATCCTATCCGAAGATTTAATAGAAGACGTTAAAAAATGTAATGTAAATAAAGAAAATCCCTCCTCGAAGCATTTAACAGTTACGATTACCAATGCTTCTAGTGCAGGTAACATGAAATCTCATAGCGACGAATTTATAAATACAAAAGATTTGTTTACGAAGACGCCCGTTAGTATTAACATATTTGATACGAACAATATATCGGTGTGTGAATGTTTTCAAATATCATCAGATGAAAATAATGATGAATTACCTGATACCGCCGCAATATGTACACTTTGTAAAAATACCATTAAAAAACAGTCAATCGATTCCAGATATCGCTTAGTTTCTGAAAGTTTAGTGCTTTCAAATAATGTAATTTTAAACCGTATTGATACGCAGCACTTAAGTACCAATATCGAAAACTGTTCACAATTTCCGGATCCATATACCCCAGAAAGTACTGAATCGCATTCACCATGTCCAGAATATAATAGCTGTACATCAACTTTTATCGATGTCTGTGCTTTAGATACGAGCTGCAGAGTTTTGTCATCTGAACAACAGGCAACAGTTTGTGCAATGAAATACACGAAAAGAAATGAGCTGGAAAAGAACGGATCACGCCAAAAGACCGTATCGCCTCAGCAACTCAAAACACGTCTGGAGGATTTGCAAATATCATCAACTTGTGAACAATACAGCGATGGTGGCAATGCTGGTGATGTTGATGGAAGTTGCAGATCGAACACCGGTACTGTCGATTTCCCAAACACATCCTTGCACAGATGTTGCAATATTCACTAAAATAAACTCATACATATCACGCCTCTACGCTTTATTTTTATGTTACTCTATACTTTTAGGTTAATTCTAATTAGCAACGCTATTTGTTTTTATTGTTGCTGGACAATTTATTTTATTTACTAACTTTTTTTATTTTATAAGAAATTTTTATTTTATAAGGAATTTAAACTTATCGCCATTGCTGGTCATGTGCATTTTTACTTAATTTATTTTATCATATTGCAAATAATAATTGTTCAGTATACATTATAAGAATGTATTTTAATATTTTTTAATTTGTCAATTTTTTGTTAGTTTTTGTAATTTTTTAGCATTTAAATATGATTAATCTGTTTTTTTTTTTAATATATGTCTATGAGAGCACCGCGAATAAATTAGATATTAAACCAAACTAATGACGTTTCTGATTTATCCACGGTTCCGTTTTCATATCATAATTATCATTATCTTTTTTGTCGGATAAAAATTATGTTTTTAGTGGAAAATGCGAATGTTGTTTGTCTGTTTCTGTTGTATATACATTCTAGGTTCGGATTGTTATGCTGCTCAAGCTTCGTCTGAAGAACTCCAAAAAATCTTAAATGATTCTATCAGCGATGACGACGTCTGGGTCGAGCAGAGTCAACTAAATGTCAATGCAATATCAAATATGTCTTGTAAATCACGGTATATGAAAGTTCATTCTTTGTCAAACAAAGGTGACAATAGCGAGGACGGCGCTGTATCTCCCACAGATGAAGAAAATGAAGAACTTGAAACAATTTTCAGTAAACTAAACCCCATATCTATAGTAAAAGAAACTACAGTTTAGATACGATCCCAGAACGGTAGAGCATATAGTGCGGAATTACCAGAATTCACTCAGTCAAGGACTGTCCCTTAGTCCATTCTGTGGTTACAGTTGGACTGCCGCAACAACAAAACAGTCAAAAATCATATGAACGTAAAGTTTTTGTTTATTTTAATTATGATATCAATGTTACAGTGTTAAACCTAATAAAATTATATATATATATATATATATATATATATATATATATATATATATATATATATATATATATTAACTGGAACCATGGCTCAATAAGAAAGGTGACTCAATTACAAAGAAACTAGAAAAATGCATCTCTGGCTGGTGTCTTATAGTAGGTGTGTCTGGTTACTTTTCCTGCAGGAATTGTCCAGTAACTTCTTTCTGAGACAGTAAGGTAGTTTTATTCTCTTTTGCAAGGAAAATGCGAAAAGTAAACAGACGGTATTCCTGCAGAAGCTTGCAACTAATCAGCTGATTTGTCAAAACAAACCAATTTGTCCCCCATAAGGAGAATTAAAACAAAGGAACCAACACTAATTTTACAAGTTTTTTAAATAAAAATGTTGAAAATAGTCTTTTATTTTCTTATTACATATTAATATTTACGTTTTTCACATTTTATAAAGTTGTTCTCCAAAAACTATTAGTCTTGCTAATTCCAAAAAAATATTTTCAAATTGAAAGCACAAAAATAAATAAACAGACAATAGAAAACATCTGATTGAATGTCGATGAATGAGAAGAAGAAGAGTTGCAAGCGATTGCAAGAAGAAATTTTTCCAGCAAGAATTTGCAAATTCTCACTGAAAGAACTGTCAAAATTTCTCTCTCCGACCGCTCTCTTTTGCAGAACTTTTGGGTAAACAGATGACTTCCAGTAACAATTTGTAACAATTGTTATAAACTTTAGGGTAACCAGACGCCCCTAGTGTCAAATAGACAGTGGGTTTTGTTTATTCTTCATTTTTCAACAAATTCTTACAATCTGAGATAAATTAATAGCGGTTTTTACGTAGATATACAACACTTTACAATACCACATTCTCAAGGTTTAATTTACCATAAGGTTGTTAATTTAAGAAAATTAAAACAACAATTTGAAACAAACTTAGTATATATAAAATTTTGTATATTTATAACTGTTGGAATTCTGCGTTTTTTTAACAATTGCCCTTTTGAGTTTGGTGCCTGTGGAAATGTCTTCAATTAACTGGCTAGCTCTTATACCAAGTAAAACATGACACACGATCTATGACTGCTTCTTTAATGACCAAAATATTTCAACGTATAATAATTGCATTGCTATATTTCTTATATTTATCAACAATAACCATTCGTGAATGCCCCTTATATTAGGTGTGTCTGGTTACTTTTCCTGCAGGAATTGTCCAGCAACATCTTTCTGAGAGAGTAAGGTAGTTTTATTCTCTTTTGCAAGGAAAATGCGAAAAGTAAACAGACGGCATTCCTGCAGAAGCTTGCAGCTAATCAGCTGATTTGCCAAAACAAACCAATTTGTCCCCCATTAAAAAAATTAAAAGAAAGGGAGCACTACCAATTCTACAAGTTTTATAAATAAAAAGCAATTTGCCAATAAAATAAAAATATTAGCACTAAAAGGAAGATAGATTTGATGCGTTCCGCGGAATCCTTAAAACCTGTTGCAGAAACATCTAGAAAAGAAGCCAGTTCCTATATCAAGAACCTTCTGAATCAAGTTATTAACTATCATAAGCGCAAGGCGGGCACAGTATGGATCTAGCCACAGTAATGGATCAACAACAAGCAGGAATTGCCAAGTTGAGAAAGGCAATTGCGAACGTAAAAAGGCTAAAGGAGATGGAAGAACTCTGGGCAGAGATCGATCGCAATGAAAACAAAATTCGTGCAGATCCTTCGGCAGTCACATCTCCATATCACCAACAACGAATTCCAAGTCATTGGTGAAGAGTATAGGACTGCAATCGACAACATCTAGGCAGACATCAAAAGGGGCAAGGAACGAACGCCTCAGTAACCTCTTCTGGCAACAAGGGTGGGTTTACAAAAACAATCTAGCCAGTTTACTACAATCAGCAGTGTGGCTGCATCAGAGAGACTTCAGAGGACTCTAATGCAGTCCATTCAAACTTTAATAAGGGGCAGTTCAGCCCAAGCTGCTCCCTGACAGACAGTAGCTGCAACTGAAAAACTGTGGATACACGTGGAAGATATCCACTTCAAAATGTTCCAGGACTTTGATGACCCAACGTTGGGGTACGATGCATCAGCATACGTTCTTTCAGAGGAAGAGACGTTAAGGCTCAAAGAAAATATATCACGTTAACACAGGTCGATCATTCGTCGTCTCAGCAGAGATCAGGCTGGAACTTGGCAAATCAAGTTAATCTGCCAAAAGCTACAACCCCTCAATTTAATGGCCAAACTGATCGAGGCCACTTACGACATTGTCTGGAAGACACTCCAAGACAGGTACAACAACAAGAGAGCTCAAGTGTCAACTATACTTGAGAGAATGCTAAACATGCCCAACATATCTGGCGATAGCAGATCAGCGAAAGACTTTCATGACAGTCTTCGTGAATCGTTATTGGCATTGGAGGATCTTGGAGTAAAGCCAAATGGAATCCACTCTTAATCCACATCCTAACAAAGAGAATAGTCAAGACTACTCATGTGTTGTATGAGCAGTCAATTGTGAATTCCAAAGAGTTCCAAACGATGGAGTATTTCATGAAATGTTTGAGGAATCGCTTCGAATCGTTAGAGCAAACCGTCTGCGATGGCTGCTTCCACCACGATCCGCAGATGTCACATGTGCAAAGGTGACCAGCTCCTATATTACTGTAAAAAGTTCTTGGTGGTGCCCGAAAGACAGAAATAGGTTGCTAGACACAAGATGTGTAAATATTTGACCATCAGGCAAAAACGTCTACAAGTGGGGAGTGCAGCAAATGTCAACAAAAACAGAATACACTTTTGCATTTTTCCACGAGGCAAAAGGAGAGAACAAGTCAGCCGATTTGTCAGTTCAGCAGCCGCCAACAGTAGCATCGGCGAATAGATCCCAATCATATGTACTCCTTGCAACCGCACGGGTTGCGATCAAGGTAAATAATGTAAGAAGCTATGAGTTCAAGGCGATTCCGGATTCCGGTTCACAGATTTATCAGGTGTCAGAGGTTGGGTATCGAACCCATTCAAGCATCTCTCTGTATCGAAGGTGTAGGCGGAAGATCGAGAACCGCAAACCACAGGTTCAACGCGGAGCTTCAGTCACTGCCCAGCAAATTTAGAACACGCCTAGAAGCCTTTGTGTTACCAAATATAGTGCCATCCCAACCAAGCACTGACATCGACATCACATCATGGCCTATTCCCGAAAACATAAAACTGGTAGATCCCTATTTTTATAAATTGTAAGCATACCAAGATTATACAATTCAAGTGTTGTGTATATCTACTTTTATTTATATTAATAAACATTTTTGGTGACCCCGAAGTGATCCTCTTTATTTTAAACCAAATTTTAAACATCATATCCCAGCTGCCACTATCAATAACTCCGCCCGTTTGAATCAAAGTGATGAAACTCCTAATAGTAAACTTATTAAAGAATCAAATGCCAATATTGAACGAGCATGTATCCTATCCGAAGATTTAATAGAAGACGTTAAAAAATGTAATGTAAATAAAGAAAATCCCTCCTCAAAGCATTTAACAGTTACGATTACCAATGCTTCTAGTGCAGGTAACATGAAATCTCATAGCGACGAATTTATAAATACAAAAGATTTGTTTACGAAGACGCCCGTTAGTATTAACATATTTGATACGAACAATATATCGGTGTGTGAATGTTTTCAAATATCATCAGATGAAAATAATGATGAATTACCTGATACCGCCGCAATATGTACACTTTGTAAAAATACCATTAAAAAACAGTCAATCGATTCCAGATATCGCTTAGTTTCTGAAAGTTTAGTGCTTTCAAATAATGCAATTTTAAACCGTATTGATACGCAGCACTTAAGTACCAATATCGAAAACTGTTCACAATTTCCGGATCCATATACCCCAGAAAGTACTGAATCGCATTCACCATGTCCAGAATATAATAGCTGTACATCAACTTTTATCGATGTCTGTGCTTTAGATACGAGCTGCAGAGTTTTGTCATCTGAACAACAGGCAACAGTTTGTGCAATGAAATACACGAAAAGAAATGAGCTGGAAAAGAACGGATCACGCCAAAAGACCGTATCGCCTCAGCAACTCAAAACACGTCTGGAGGATTTGCAAATATCATCAACTTGTGAACAATACAGCGATGGTGGCAATGCTGGTGATGTTGATGGAAGTTGCAGATCGAACACCGGTACCGTCGATTTCCCAAACACATCCTTGCACAGATGTTGCAATATTCACTAAAATAAACTCATACATATCACGCCTCTACGCTTTATTTTTATGTTACTCTATACTTTTAGGTTAATTCTAATTAGCAACGCTATTTGTTTTTATTGTTGCTGGACAATTTATTTTATTTACTAACTTTTTTATTTTATAAGAAATTTTTATTTTATAAGGAATTTAAACTTATCGCCATTGCTGGTCATGTGCATTTTTACTTAATTTATTTTATCATATTGCAAATAATAATTGTTCAGTATACATTATAAGAATGTATTTTAATATTTTTTAATTTGTCCATTTTTTGTTAGTTTTTGTAATTTTTTAGCATTTAAATATGATTAATCTGTTTTTTTTTTAATATATGTCTATGAGAGCACCGCGAATAAATTAGATATTAAACCAAACTAATGACGTTTCTGATTTATCCACGGTTCCGTTTTCATATCATAATTATCATTATCTTTTTTGTCGGATAAAAATTATGTTTTTAGTGGAAAATGCGAATGTTGTTTGTCTGTTTCTGTTGTATATACATTCTAGGTTCGGATTGTTATGCTGCTCAAGCTTCGTCTGAAGAACTCCAAAAAATCTTAAATGATTCTATCAGCGATGACGACGTCTGGGTCGAGCAGAGTCAACTAAATGTCAATGCAATATCAAATATGTCTTGTAAATCACGGTATATGAAAGTTCATTCTTTGTCAAACAAAGGTGACAATAGCGAGGACGGCGCTGTATCTCCCACAGATGAAGAAAATGAAGAACTTGAAACAATTTTCAGTAAACTAAATCCCATATCTATAGTAAAAGAAACTACAGTTTAGATACGATCCCAGAACGGTAGAGCATATAGTGCGGAATTACCAGAATTCACTCAGTCAAGGACTGTCCCTTAGTCCATTCTGTGGTTACAGTTGGACTGCCGCAACAACAAAACAGTCAAAAATCATATGAACGTAAAGTTTTTGTTTATTTTAATTATGATATCAATGTTACAGTGTTAAACCTAATAAAATTATATATATATATATATATATATATATATATATATATATATATATATATATATATATATATATATATATATATATTAACTGGAACCATGGCTCAATAAGAAAGGTGACTCAATTACAAAGAAACTAGAAAAATGCATCTCTGGCTGGTGTCTTATAGTAGGTGTGTCTGGTTACTTTTCCTGCAGGAATTGTCCAGTAACTTCTTTCTGAGACAGTAAGGTAGTTTTATTCTCTTTTGCAAGGAAAATGCGAAAAGTAAACAGACGGTATTCCTGCAGAAGCTTGCAACTAATCAGCTGATTTGTCAAAACAAACCAATTTGTCCCCCATAAGGAGAATTAAAACAAAGGAACCAACACTAATTTTACAAGTTTTTTAAATAAAAATGTTGAAAATAGTCTTTTATTTTCTTATTACATATTAACATTTACGTTTTTCACATTTTATAAAGTTGTTCTCCAAAAACTATTAGTCTTGCTAATTCCAAAAAAATATTTTCAAATTGAAAGCACAAAAATAAATAAACAGACAATAGAAAACATCTGATTGAATGTCGATAAATGAGAAGAAGAAGAGTTGCAAGCGATTGCAAGAAGAAATTTTTCCAGCAAGAATTTGCAAATTCTCACTGAAAGAACTGTCAAAATTTCTCTCTCCGACCGCTTTCTTTTGCAGAACTTTTGGGTAAACAGACGACTTCCAGTAACAATTTGTAACAATTGTTATAAACTTTAGGGTAACCAGACGCCCCTAGTGTCAAATAGACAGTGGGTTTTGTTTATTCTTCATTTTTCAACAAATTCTTACAATCTGAGATAAATTAATAGCGGTTTTTACGTAGATATACAACACTTTACAATACCACATTCTCAAGGTTTAATTTACCATAAGGTTGTTAATTTAAGAAAATTAAAACAACAATTTGAAACAAACTTAGTATATATAAAATTTTGTATATTTATAACTGTTGGAATTCTGCGTTTTTTTAACAATTGCCCTTTTGAGTTTGGTGCCTGTGGAAATGTCTTCAATTAACTGGCTAGCTCTTATACCAAGTAAAACATGACACACGATCTATGACTGCTTCTTTAATGACCAAAATATTTCAACGTATAATAATTGCATTGCTATATTTCTTATATTTATCAACAATAACCATTCGTGAATGCCCCTTATATTAGGTGTGTCTGGTTACTTTTCCTGCAGGAATTGTCCAGCAACATCTTTCTGAGAGAGTAAGGTAGTTTTATTCTCTTTTGCAAGGAAAATGCGAAAAGTAAACAGACGGCATTCCTGCAGAAGCTTGCAGCTAATCAGCTGATTTGCCAAAACAAACCAATTTGTCCCCCATTAAAAAAATTAAAAGAAAGGGAGCACTACCAATTCTACAAGTTTTATAAATAAAAAGCAATTTGCCAATAAAATAAAAATATTAGCACTAAAAGGAAGATAGATTTGATGCGTTCCGCGGAATCCTTAAAACCAGTTGCAGAAACATCTAGAAAAGAAGCCAGTTCCTATATCAAGAACCTTCTGAATCAAGTTATTAACTATCATAAGCGTAAGGCGGGCACAGTATGGATCTAGCCACAGTAATGGATCAACAACAAGCAGGAATTGCCAAGTTGAGAAAGGCAATTGCGAACGTAAAAAGGCTAAAGGAGATGGAAGAACTCTGGGCAGAGATCGATCGCAATGAAAACAAAATTCGTGCAGATCCTTCGGCAGTCACATCTCCATATCACCAACAACGAATTCCAAGTCATTGGTGAAGAGTATAGGACTGCAATAATGGCCGAACTGATCGAGGCCACTTACGACATTGTCTGGAAGACACTCCAAGACAGGTACAACAACAAGAGAGCTCAAGTGTCAACTATACTTGAGAGAATGCTAAACATGCCCAACATATCTGGCGATAGCAGATCAGCGAAAGACTTTCATGACAGTCTTCGTGAATCGTTATTGGCATTGGAGGATCTTGGAGTAAAGCCAAATGGAATCCACTCTTAATCCACATCCTAACAAAGAGAATAGTCAAGACTACTCATGTGTTGTATGAGCAGTCAATTGTGAATTCCAAAGAGTTCCAAACGATGGAGTATTTCATGAAATGTTTGAGGAATCGCTTCGAATCGTTAGAGCAAACCGTCTGCGATGGCTGCTTCCACCACGATCCGCAGATGTCACATGTGCAAAGGTGACCAGCTCCTATATTACTGTAAAAAGTTCTTGGTGGTGCCCGAAAGACAGAAATAGGTTGCTAGACACAAGATGTGTAAATATTTCACCATCAGGCAAAAACGTCTACAAGTGGGGAGTGCAGCAAATGTCAACAAAAACACAATACACTTTTGCATTTTTCCACGAGGCAAAAGGAGAGAACAAGTCAGCCGATTTGTCAGTTCAGCAGCCGCCAACAGTAGCATCGGCGAATAGATCCCAATCATATGTACTCCTTGCAACCGCACGGGTTGCGATCAAGGTAAATAATGTAAGAAGCTATGAGTTCAAGGCGATTCCGGATTCCGGTTCACAGATTTATCAGGTGTCAGAGGTTGGGTATCGAACCCATTCAAGCATCTCTCTGTATCGAAGGTGTAGGCGGAAGATCGAGAACCGCAAACCACAGGTTCAACGCGGAGCTTCAGTCTCTGCCCAGCAAATTTAGAACACGCCTAGAAGCCTTTGTGTTACCAAATATAGTGCCATCCCAACCAAGCACTGACATCGACATCACATCATGGCCTATTCCCGAAAACATAAAACTGGTAGATTACTATTTTTATCAAACGACCAGAATTGACGTACTACTTGGAGCAGATTTCTACTTCAACCTGATTTTCTCACAAGAACTTCGAATGCCCAAGTTCTATATTGAAGAACTCAAAACTAGGGTAGATTGCTAGTGGAAGAGTTCAGGCTGAATTAGAAACTGTGACATGTGCCGTTTTCGGAGAAAATGAACGTGCTCTAGAATATTTATTGGGCAATTTGGGCATTTATCATATTAGCATTGTTCAAAAGAACATAATTTTTGAACATACACTCTTTGTTATTTAATAAGTTTTGTTCCATGTCAGCATATAACTGACCCAATATAATTTTAGCTTCATTTTTTATTTTAAGCAGGCCAATAACCCAAATAAAGAAACAACTCGATTAGTTTCACATTGCATGGGCTATTGACTGAAGTATTTTATTCCTTACTTTACATTTAATGCTAGTTGTATTGATAACAAAAATGAATAAATACCAAGCAAAAATAAAGATTCTTGGTAGATTGCAAGAAATTGTAAGCATACCAAGATTATACAATTCAAGTGTTGTGTATATCTACTTTTATTTATATTAATAAACATTTTTGGTGACCCCGAAGTGATCCTCTTTATTTTAAACCAAATTTTAAACATCATATCCCAGCTGCCACTATCAATAACTCCGCCCGTTTGAATCAAAGTGATGAAACTCCTAATAGTAAACTTATTAAAGAATCAAATGCCAATATTGAACGAGCATGTATCCTATCCGAAGATTTAATAGAAGACGTTAAAAAATGTAATGTAAATAAAGAAAATCCCTCCTCGAAGCATTTAACAGTTACGATTACCAATGCTTCTAGTGCAGGTAACATGAAATCTCATAGCGACGAATTTATAAATACAAAAGATTTGTTTACGAAGACGCCCGTTAGTATTAACATATTTGATACGAACAATATATCGGTGTGTGAATGTTTTCAAATATCATCAGATGAAAATAATGATGAATTACCTGATACCGCCGCAATATGTACACTTTGTAAAAATACCATTAAAAAACAGTCAATCGATTCCAGATATCGCTTAGTTTCTGAAAGTTTAGTGCTTTCAAATAATGTAATTTTAAACCGTATTGATACGCAGCACTTAAGTACCAATATCGAAAACTGTTCACAATTTCCGGATCCATATACCCCAGAAAGTACTGAATCGCATTCACCATGTCCAGAATATAATAGCTGTACATCAACTTTTATCGATGTCTGTGCTTTAGATACGAGCTGCAGAGTTTTGTCATCTGAACAACAGGCAACAG